GTTGCGCCTGCAGGCAGGGGCAACGGATCGAGGGAGGCAGGGGCGTCGCGAGGCAGACGGCAGGCGGGGCTTCGAGAGGGGCGAAGGCGAGTCCGCCTCTGGAGCCTGCACGTGGGCGCAGATTCCCGGCTGCCGCCGCGTGTGCGTGTGTGCGCAGTCCTGGGGCTCGCGCTGCACGCACCCTCCGCCGTGGCGCCCCCCAGCCCTCACCCACGCGCCCTTCGCCCCCTCACAGGAGGTCAAGGGCGCGTTTGATGCGGTCGGGGCGATGAGCCCCGACGACAAGGGCTACTGGCGGGCACTGGACGAGCACCTCGAGTCCACCAAGACCCTCAAACACGTGAGGCGTCCCCGCAGGGCGCAAGGACGCGCGCACGCGCCCCGCGCTCGTGCCTGCCGTGCCGTGCCGGCCTGCGACGCTGCGCCGGCCGAGCGGCGGGCGCCAATGATGGAGGCGGCTGGCGTCTGCAGGCGTGGCGCTCGCAGGCGCTCGCCCCGCCCCACGACGCCGCCCCGTCGTGCCCACCCCCACGACGCGACGGGCCCTCTGCTGAACTCCAACCTGTCCCTGTCCTTCTCAACCCTGCCGTGCGGACTGCCCCTCTCATCCGCCATAACTGTCACTTCAACCGCGGCTCCAACTGCCGCAGATGTACGAGTCAACCTGGTACAAGTGCAGCAAGCTGTCCAACGGGATGGCAGAGCGCTACCCCACAACGCAGGCCATGGAGGAGGCGGCGCTGCCCCACATCCTGTCATGGCTCGGGATCCGGTGGGAGGCTGGTGGGGACGCGGGCGGGGGCGGAGCTTTTGTGCTGAGGGTGGGGGCTGGGGGGTGGATGCGGGGAAGAGGGCATGGTACTGGAAGGCTGACAAGGCGCCCGCCGGGCCGCCTCGCACGTATTGCAAGCAGGGCCCCGCTTGCAACACACGCGTTCTAGCAGACTCAGCGCGAGTCGCGACCCTCATGGCCAGCCGATCGGATACGTGTGTTTGCTTGTGCAGGGAGGACCAGCTGCCGCGGCCGGGAGCCACCGCAAACTTTGACCAGCTGGTGGGCCTGCTGGACGCGGTCAACGCCAGCGCACACCTGGTGACCGACCCGCTACCGTTCTTGGCCACCCAGATGGTGCCCACTGACAGGTGCGATGCGTCGTGGCAGGGTGCGATGGATGCAGTGATCGGCTAGGTCATAGCAGACCTTTGCGCGCGCACACGCACACACACACACACACACACACACACACACAAACACACACACACACACACACACAAACACACACACACACAGTCACATTCACATAGCCCTTGCCCCACCCCACCTCACCCCACCCCACCCCACCCCCAGGAACGGCCTGCCCCTGCTGGTCCACATGACCTTCAAAGACAAGGGCACCTTCGCCAGGCACCACCTGCTGTCGCTGGCCAGCTGGGCGCGCAGTAACCCCGACTATGCCATACTCATGTATGACGACAGGGACCTGCAGGATTACCTAACAGCATACCTGCAGGTGGGGGCTGGGGAAGCTCCGTGCGCGCTGCCGCGCAGCAAGCTGCACCCCTCAAATGGGAGCAAGCGCAGGCGTCGTCTCCATCACGCTGCACGGGTGGGCGCTTATGCTTACCACGGGCGCCACCAGACGGTGGCCACTCCCCTCACTGTGATGACTCTTCGCGTTCCGCAAAACGTGGATTGCTGATGCCTTTCAGCAAAAGGTCAAGCCTCGCTGTACGTCAACGCCCCATTTGCTGCGCGCTGCAGGGTGCAGCCCAGCTGTACCAGTCGCTGAAGACGCCGGTGGAGCGCAGCGACCTCTGGCGCTACGCGGTGATGTGCAACCACGGCGGCATCTACGCAGACGCCGACACGCTGTGCATACGGCCCGTGCAGGTGCGCATGCACGCCGACGCCGACAACGCGCGGGCGCCGCGTCATTGCCTGCAGCTCAGCATCCCCGTTGTGGCCCGGAGTCTGATGGCACGGCTTCAAGATGGAGAAACGCTCGCGGATTTGTGATTGGCTTGTCTGCCAAAGTCATTTGCTGGACAAGTTCCAAGGAAAGAAGCGTCCTTTGCAATGGACCGAGTGGCGCATTGACATGTCCAACCCTCTTTCTTTGACCAGGAATGGAACCGCGAGAACGGTCACGACGCCGAGGTGTTTTTCGGCGTGGAGGACATTTTCAGGCGCGACCCCTCTAGCGGCGGCGCCGGCTGGGGCCTGGACCAGGGCCGCTTCGGCGTCCAGTTTGAGCAGTGGGTGCTGGCCACGGCGCCGCGGCACCCGGTGTACTGCGGCGTGCCCCAGCTCATCAGGTGGGTTGCCGGGGCGGGGCCGAGGAGAGGAGCGCGCTCAGGCGCGGCGGTGGCGCTCGATCCCCATGCACTGCGTCTGCAGCTCGCTCGACGCCGCATGTTGAGCGGTTTCAACATGCGCATGCCCAGGTGTGCACACAAATACGCACGGGCGTGCACGCTCTCTCACACACACACATGCACGGGCGCACATGCACGCACGCACGCATTCACTTGCGCGCACACAAGTCCTCTACGCCACCCCTAAAAGCTCCCCACCCAATCCCCAAACCCAACCCCACCCCACCTTGGCCAGCGAGCGCGTCGCGGCCGAGGCCAGGTCCCCCACGCTGCGCAGCGCGGAGGACAACTGGTCCATCCTGCACCGCACCGGCCCCCACGTCTGGACGGACTCGGTGCTGCGCTGGACGCACGCGCAGGGCATCGGCTATCACGAGGGCCTCCAGCCCGGCGGCCGCCTGGTGGGCGATACCGCAAGGATCATGCCCGGCGAGACGTTTGGCTGCGCAGCGCACTTTTTCAGCAACGAGACCCGCCTGGACGAGGTGAGGGCGGCGCGACAAAGCCGGCCTTTGTCGGCTGAGGCGGGCGTAGGAGGAGGGCTCGGTCCCCTTGGGCGGAAGCGGGCGGGCGCAGACGGGTTGCCGCGGCGGTTCGGGGCGTGCATGTCGCGCCCAGAGTCAACTCAGCGTGCACAGCTGCATCGCAGCCCTGCAGCGAGGCGTGTGCTGCACGGTAGGCATGGAGAAACTGCGAGCACCCCAGCAGCTTGGATCCGCCCGAATTGTGTGTTTTTGCGGTACCCGACTGCCGCCGCTGTGGCCACAAGCCACCGCAACTGTGCACCCGCCCGCAGGTGTACGTCATGCACATGTTCCGCGGTGTGTGGCGCAAGCGGCCGGGCGAGGGCGCGTCGGGCGCCGTCGCGGGCGGTGGGGCGCAGCGCGAGGTGCTGGGCTTCTGAGCTGCGGCTGCGGCGGCGCCGGGCGGGGGCCAAGCCCTGGCGGGCGCAAGGGCCCCCCCATGAATCTGCTGGCTTTTGGGAACCGCCAGCAGGCTGGCAGCCCAGTGAGCAAGTGCGACGCCCCTTTCGCGGTGAAGGCCCCTGCTGGCTTGATGAAGACAGGGTGGAGGAGGGGGGTGTCGAGGGGGGTTGTGTTATGAAAGTGCCCGCCTGCACTCCGACACCTTCAATTTGTGTGGACGTTTGACCGAGGCCGTGAAAGTACGGAAAATCGCATGCCCATTGCAGGCAAGGCCGCGGCCTCGTCACGCGGTGCTGTTGTGTTGTGAATTGAAGACAAGTCCTCAGCGGTGCCCGCGCTGGACAGAGCGCGCCCCCGCGTTGGCAAGGCTTTGCCTTCTGAGGTCTTGAGTTGCACCAACTGTTGGCGTGTTCCTCCTTCCCGAATGCTTCATGACCGCGGCATGCCCCGCGTTGACCAAAGGGCGCAAGACCCTTTCTTTTTGTGCTGTCCCCCAAGAAATGCCAGAAGCATTTGCTGCGCGTGCGTTGAGACGCCGCGCCTTACTTCAAAAGCGACGCGGCGAGCCTGCCCCGGCTTTGCGGCTGCAGGCGCCTCTCGAGTGGATCTGGAATTGCTTCCGCCGCAACCCCTCGCTGGTTGCTGCGCCGATGCATCTACATGAGCTTCCAAATGACCCAGCATGTGGCGTCTGCGTGTGCGCTGCGCGCTGCTGTTCCAAGGCCGTGCGCACTCAATCAGCATGCTGGCGAAGCCTCAGCCGCGCCTTGCCGCGGCAGTGGTCAGGCCTGCATACTCCCCTTGGCGACCCGTGCCCCACTCCCTTGATGCGGCCGCGGACCCAGAGTCCCGCTGCTGTGTGCGTGTGGACGATTTGGCTGTTTTGACTGGCCGGCCTGCTTTTCCTGCTTGCCCAGTCGACGCCCGCCATCCCAGGGCCTCTTTTTGCCTGTCAATTGCGTGTACAAAGCGTGCGCGCCGAATGCGATCCACTATGCTTTACTGCAAGCTGTATGTGTCCTTCTCTCTCCGCCGGCCGATGCATGCCGCCCTTTTGTAATTGCCTCGTATCAGGGCCCCACAGTTCAGCGCTTGCGTGTCGTATCGGGCGCCACAGTTCAGCGCTTGCGTGTTTGATGAATCAATCGTTGTCTATCGCTGGGCGCTGGACAGGCCACTGGCCAGAGTGCTTCATGCTAATGTGAAGCGCTCAGCGGATGAACGTGCCCTAAGCTGCACACCAGACAGCTCTCGGTCGGAAGATGGCAGGTTTGCTACAGGTCTTTCGTCATGATGGCGTTTGTTTTGTTTGTCTGCGGCAGAATACAAGCAAGGGCACCCTAAACGGCGGCCGAGGAATCGTCAGGGGTCCAAGCGGCTTGTACCGCTTGCAACTGCTGCCAAGCCAGGCGCCCGCCATCAGCCAGGGCACTGCCAGTACTGGCAGCAGTGTGGTCTGCACGAGCCCAGCTGGGGCAGCGAGGATGGGGCACGTGCGTGATTCATGCAGGATCTGCAGCATTTACTAGCCCACTCTGGCCAGGCTATTAGAGTGCTGCGGGGGCGTATGTGCAGGGCATACGTTGCTGGGGGGGCGTATGTGCAGAGCATACATTGTTTACAACAGTCTGTCTTGTCAATGGAGCGGCGGCTCGCATCGAAGACATCAGACCCCCACAGAAACTTTACGCCCAGAGCAGCGGCAGCAGCAAAAGGCAGCCGTCGCCGACCGAGCGCTTCCTGTGCAAGGCTTATTCACACAGGCAAATCTGAATTAAAAAAAGCACTCTGGGGCTGTTCAAAAGTCTGTCGAATGTACAAGACCATGCACAAGGTGCTCGCTTGATCTAGGTACTCATACGCAATCCTGCAAGGGACCCTCTCATGCACCAAGGAGCGCCTCCCCTGTAATTGCTGTGTTCGCCTGTGGGAGCACTTTTGACGTCAGTGACACGGAAGCGTGCTGAGGCAGCAGCAAACGGGTAGTCGCAGGCCACACCGTCCTCCCTGACACCAGAGCTACGCCATAATGTCACACATGGCATCTTGAGATGCCAGATCTGACGACATCAGTGACGTCAGATGACATCCTCACTGTCGCCTAGGCCTGATCCTCCAGGCGCGCGTAGGTGCCCCTGAGCGCCTGCTTCGCCTCGTCGTACGCCACCTCAGCATCCGCCCTGAGCTCCTCGCCCCACTTGCCAAAGTGGGGACCGATGCCTGCCAACAAAAAGGGGTGCGAATGTTACGTGCGCCGGCACGCCAGCAGCGTGCAGGGGTTCCTGGATGCGTACGGAGGACAGGCACTTGCGTGCAGACCTCTTGCCGCCCTACATGATGTGCTCGGCTGCCCTGTCCGTGTGCCTAGTATCACTCCCAGATCAGAGCCCCTTATGCAGTCGCACCCCGGGCTTGCGGATGTGATATAGACAAACGGCCACGCCGCCACCCACCATACAGGGGCCAGCTGGCCGCGCCCGCGGCAAGGCCTCCCAGGAGCTGCGCCAGCACGTACAGCAGCGTGGTCCTGACGCTGCCCGCGCCGCAGCCAAACACAATGGCCGGGCCCAGGGTGCGCGCCGGGTTGAGGGCGGCGCCGGTGTAGGGCAGCGCGGTGAGGGCGGCGGCGGCGAGGGTGATACCGATGGCGGCGGGGCCCGCAAAGTTCTTGTCGCCGATCGCCACGGCGTATACAACAGTCTGGGCAAGGTTTGGGTGGCAGATTATAGGGTGGAGGCAGGGGTTGAGTTGAGGCAAGGTTTGCACAGACGTGGGGCTGTGCGGGATGCAGGATTGAAAGAACAGGAGGAATTTTGGGGAGGCTGCTCGACGTGGGGTTTTCAACGGAGTGCGCGGCAGTCCCTTAATAGTGATAGAACACGCACAGCCCCACTTCACGGGCCGGCCAAGAGCGCAGCAGGGGCAGCAGGGGCAGCAGAGGCGGCAGGGGCAGCAGCGCGTGCGGGCTAGCAAGCACCGCCCGGGGCGGCGATGCGAGCAGCGAAATAGCACGCGATGTTGCACAAGCGGGGCCACTGCCTGACAGCCTGGCTGAGCCGGCTAAAAGCGCAGGTCACGTCCGTCAGCCGTTGACAGGGGCCTCACCACGAGCACCGCGGTGAGCAGCAGCTCCCACACGATGGCCTGCCCCAGGGTGGCCCCGCCGCCGGGGCCCGAGCAGCCGACGGCCGCGGCCTTGGGCAGGAGGGCGAGCTGCCGCAGAGGATTCGGGAGTAGAGCAGGGGGGGAGGAAGGTGCGTTGAGCGTGGCGGAGTGGGGGCAGCGCGGCGCGTTGCTCAATGGTCTCTGGCAACAAAAGGGGGCGCAGAGCCCGGCAGCAAGGGGACAACTGCAGCGGGCAGAGCCAGCGGGTATGCGGTAAGCTGTTTGTTGTGCTGGTGAGCTCCACGCAAGGCCTTTTTCAACAGGCGCACGCAGGGAGAAGAGATGCGCGCCGGCAATAGCGGGGTGGGGCGTGAGGGGTACGCCAGCGCAGAGGCGTGAACGCCCACGCACGTGCAGGGCGGAGGCGGCAATGGCGCCACCAATCTGCGCGGCGATGTAGGACAGGCCGCGGAGAACCGACACGTGGCCGGTGGCCAGGGCAGCCACGGTGACTGTCGGGTGACAAAGAGGGGGCAGGTGAACGCAGGAGGGCAATGAGCGATTCAGCGGAATGGGGATGGGAGGTTTGTGGCTGTGAATTATGATCGAAGGTGCTCGTGCAGGGGGCAGCAGCGTCGCTCGATATGCGGGGCCAAGTCAGACAGCACACGCGGCAAAGGTGCACGAGCGCCTCACCTGCAGGGTTGAGGTGGCCGCCAGAAACATTGGCGGTCGCTGCGTGGCGGGGAGGGAGTGCAAGCGGGCAGGGGTGTGAGCGAAGCGGTGTCGGCGGGGGGTCACTTCACTGCGGCACGCAGCGGCCATCAATGATGCGCGAGGAGAAGGGATGCTGCGGAAGCGTGTTTTCGCAAACGCCGTCGCGGATGTGCAACTGCCTCGACGCACACAGGTCGCAGCGCCGGGGCACCACAGTGCCAGGACGGGGCGGCCTGGGGAGCAGGGACGACCTGCAAAGCCCACGTTGCGCGGCTCATGCCAGGATCGCGACCAAGGCGGCGCCGCTCAGCACGCGCGTTACGTGCGCGGCGTCCCCTGGTGGCCTGGGCGCACCATAGACAAGGACCGCCAGGGCAAGGCCGTTTGCGATGGCGAAGTTCTTGTAGGAAGCGGCGGCGCCGATGAGCGCGAAGAAGAGGACGCCGAAAAACTCTGCAGAGATGGCTGCCGCGAACTTGGCGCCGCTGCGCCCCTCCGACTGCAGGGGAGAGGGGGAGTAGGGCGGGGCCGGCGCGGATGCGGTGGGGTGGGGCCGGGGGGCAGCATGAGGGGAGCGGCTGCGGGGCTGCGAGGCATGGGGGAGGTGGCGGGTGGCATTTCGGCATGGGACACGAGATGCGGCAAATCAGTGATGCGATCGCTCCACATATGCTATGACAGTTGCCGCGTGGTGCTCGTGCCGGCTGCCAGTGCGTGTAGGTCGCGTGTGGGCGGCAGTTGGCTGCAGGGGGTGCTGCGAGCGGACGCCGCATGGACTCGGCGGCACAGGCGACGGCATATGCCGCGGCGCAGCGCAGCGCGCACCCTCAGCAGGCCTGCCATGATGATTTAGACGCTGCCTTGAGCCCTGCACGAATAAAGCATGGGCGTTGGTGGACGCGGCATGAGGTGACGAGGATGGGGCGAGGGAGGCGACGGCGTCAGCGCGGGCACCTCTGCACGAGAAGTGCCGCCTGAAACCATCGCATTAGCCTTCATTATGGTGTGATCAGCTCGTGACACCACATAACCGGGCAGGAATGCCGGATCTTTGCTCACGGTCTGGTTGCGCCGGGCGGAGGTGGTTTGCCGCTCGCAAACTGAGTGCACAAGACAAGGGGATCAGTGTGCTGAAAAATTATGTTGCAGCAGTCAAATAGCACCCTGGGCAGGCAGACAGTTCAGCCCAAGATTTGCACCGCGCTCACCTTCCGACATGTCCGACATGTCACCATGGTGACAGGGCCAGGGACCGGTGCAACCCAGTTGGGTAGCAACCACAAGATGCGGCCAGCTGAGCCTTTTGTGTGAACGGTTTCTTTTGCAACTTTACCTTGCGGTATCGCAAAACAATGGAGCAGCGCTTCTGATAGTGCGTGACCAAGCGCATGATAAAGCGCATTGTGGGTTGCCACCGCCCGACTGTACTGCAAATGGTCCGTCTGCGCAAGTACATGTGCTGGCCCTGCATGTTGCATCTGCGATGTTGCGGTACCCGACGATCCGGTTCAAGTTAGTTACAAAATGGCCTGGCTGTGGGTATCCCCTGCCTACTGAGCGGGCATGCAAGCAGCCTGCTCCATTTCAGCGCAGGTGCCTGGGGGCAAACTGCACGACCTGGCAGGTGCGCGCTAACGCGCGGACACCTCCCATTGTTGATGGGGGGGCAGATACCATCATGTGCCAGCACAGCGAGCGAGACAGCAGAGAACGATTGACGAACCAACAATGCCGCCGCGCGATCGCCACGCATCAGGCGCTGCGATTGCAGCTCCAAGGGCGGTTGTCCGAGTCGGTGAACGTGGCTGTACCAGTGACAGAGTGCACCCCGCAAACGACATGAGCGGGCAACTTTTCAAACAGGGAGCAAGAGCCCGCCAGCACCGACCCAGCAGGCAAAATGGCGGCAAAGTGTCATCGCACCCCGCCGCAGTGTTGGCGGTGCACTGGGGTGCTGGTGACTTCTGCGCGTGCACGTGTGCATGTTGTGCGTACGCAGCCTCACCGCCCCTCAAGGCGGTGCATGGCAGAGCAGTGACAGCCTGATCCTAAAAACGCACGCCACCAGGTGGCGGGAGGGGAAAGGCCTCCAGGCCCGTACAACAAGCGACACGATTTGCAGGTGTCAAGTATTGAAATGACAATACAGCATGGGCCAACGCAGGTGGGGCAAAAACGGCCCGCGCGTGCTCGAGCGCGAGACCACGCCCGCATGTGTTGGGCGCGCGGGGCTGGGCGCGGTCAGCTGCGGGGTGCGCTTGGGGGCGCTGCATGCAGGGACGGGGCGAGGGACGCGCCGGTGCCTCCCTGCGGAGAGGTAAAATATGCGCACAGAGGGCGGCAGCCGCACGGCGGCGGCCGCCTGCCTGCACTGTTAGAGGTCAGGACATGGTCAAACATGGGTCAAATATCAGTTAGGACGTGGCTGCGCGATCATGAGATGACAGCGGGTGCCTGTGGCGGCAGCGCAAGGAAGGGCTGCGCCTGAGCAGCGGCGGCGGCCGCCGCAGTGGATATGCCAAGCGCCTGGAGCTGCAGCAGCTGCTGCTGCTCGTGGTGAGCCTGCAGGTGCTCGCCAGGTGCCACAAACGGATGCTGTCCGCCCGTCCATTGTTGTGGCTCTGAAGGCAGGTGCGGCTGCTGCTGCTGCTGCTGCTGCTGCTGCGGCTGCTGCTGCGGCTGCTGCGGCTGCTGCGGTGGCCCTGGCCGCTGGTCCACCTGCATGGGTGGGTGCCCCTGCGATTGAGCCGCCTGCGGAGGTGAGCTTGCCTTCGAAGACGCCTGCTGGGCTGTCTGCTGAGGACTCTGCTGCTGCTGCTGCTGCTGCTGCTGCTGCTGCTGCAGCTGCTGCTCCTGCTCCCGCTGCAGCGGGCTCCTGGCGGGCTCGTGGGAGGATCCAGGCGGCAGTTGCGGACCAGGACTGCCACCGACGGCCAGTTCTGCGTGCTGGTTTTGCTGCAGCATCTGCCGCCGCTGCTGCTGGTGCTGCTGCTGCTGCTGCTGCTGCTGCTGCTGCTGCTGCTGCTGCTGCAGCACCTGGTGCTGCTGCACCTGCTTCTGCTGTGCCTGCTGCGCCTGCTCTCGCGCTTGATGGGACAAAGCGGATCGGTGCTGCTCCCATGTGATTTGCTGCTGCCGCTGCTGCTGCAGCTGGTGCTGCTTCTGCTGTTGCAGCTGGTGCTGATGCTGCATAGCCTGTGCTTGTTGCGGGCGCTGGTGCTGCGCCGATGGGAGCGCGCCGCCCTGCCGCGGTAGCCCCTGCTCCTGCAGCTGCTGCAGCTCCGCGTGCGCCGCAAGCAGGCAGAACAGCGCGGGCGCCCCCGGCCGCGCCCCGGCCGCGGCGCGCGGCTCCATGGGTCCGAGCCGGTCCAGGAGACCCCTGTAGCGGCCCCCGCTGTAAGCGCCGCCTCCGCTGCCGCCGCCGCCGCCGCTGCCGCCGTCGCGCCCGCAGAACAGCGCCGGCCCCTCGCGCTGCACCGCGCGCATGCCGGCGAGCAGCAGGTGCACGGGCAGCAGCCGTCCGTCGGGCGGGCCCGCCAGCCCCGCGCGGACGCGGCGC